CTTCTTGCAAGCTGGACCACGAAGCTAATGACACATTCTGGGGCTCTTCCAGGAGTTTGGGAGGTACAGGGGGTTAGATTTACTTCATTTTCTTGGAAGAGACACATTAACCTTGTCAGCTGGCCAACAGGAGAGAATATTTGGCAGTGCTGTTGCTGAGCTGGCCAGGTTACTACGGCGTTGAACGGTTGTACTTCAGTGAGCAACCAGAAATGGCAACACACGGGCACAGCACCTGCACAGCCACACTGGAGAGAACATTTAGAGGCCTCCTCTGTTACAGAATTAGTTTCTTTAGGAAGTGAGAAGAAAAGGTAAAAAATTTCAAGAACTTTTTGCTGTTGTCAGAGGTGTGGAGGATAAAACTTCACTTCAAAATGCCTGCACCAAGCCTGCGCACAGTGTTTCAGGTGGTGGGAAATCAGTGCTCTTCCATGATAAATACCTGCTGTCCATTGTCTTTTTGATTCAACCTTCAGAAATCGATCCAGCTTTTTAACAAACAGTGGGTAATTCTGGGTACTGAGCAAGGGACACAACATTTTTGTCATCCTTGGTACTGCTCGGGCAAGAACAAGGCTGCTCTTGTGCTGGAGCTGTGGAATTTTGATGGCAAGTTCTCAGGGTCCCCATCCACATGATGTCCATCCACACAATCAATTCTGGGTCACTGTAAGAACATGACTTTTTTTTCCACCCTGCAAATCCTTTTGGTGCTTGCCTTTCATACCTCCCCACCAAACATGTGTGAGGGACCATGGAAGTGAAGGCAGAGATGAACAGGAGCGAGGAGGAGTAAGGATGGAGGGTGGATACCAGCAACATGAGGCTCCTGGTTGGATTTGTTGGGTGTAAAACTCAGTGTGCTCTGTGGGGCTGAGGTTTGTAGGACATGGGCTCCTCAGGGAGCAACTCCAGTGCAAACCACAAGTGGGGAATGCGGTGCAGCTCCTGGAGCGAAGCTGTGCTGGAAGCAAATCTGCTTTTTCTATCCTCTGATGCTCCCTAGTTAGCCCTCCCCCCTCCCAGGGCCCAGTATTTATGTTTCCAGATAATAATGATGTGGTGTGGCTGGCAGAGTAATTTAAATAATTGGACATTATCTTGAGAAGCAAGCACCTAATTAGATCAAAATAAACTGAGAACTGAAATTTTCATCTGTTTCTAATAACCCTTTACCTATGTACAGTATTACTGCCACAACAGAGATTTCATTATTCACACCACTGCGTGTACTTGGAGCTCACTGGTGATGGAGACTCCTGGAAGAGCAGAGAGCTTGGAGGGCTTTGGCCAAGGCTCAGTGACTCATTCTGGTTCCCCAGAGTATTTTGCCCCTTGTATTTGCCCCTTGTGTAACCAGTGAGGTTTGGAGTTTGTAGCAGCAAGCTGGGTTAGAACACAGAACTTTAGAGATAAAAGGCTCAAAGGAAGTCTTGGAACTCTGTTCTTAACTTCTCTAAGTTTATCTAGGAGGTTATAATCTATTCATTTTAATACAAATGAGGAAGAGGCAGTTCAGATGTTCTCCAGCATTTGGTAAATCATTGGGACCATCTGAGTGCATGGAGGTGTTGCCTCTCCAGCACACCAGCTCTTAATTTGGTCCTGAGAAAAGGACTCCGCTGTTGAAAGTTCACTCAAAGAGTCTTGTTTTGGCTTTGACAACTACAGCTGAAAATCTCTGGTACTGAGGGGGTGGTTTGGAGTTGCCAGGATTACAGCTAAGGGAAGAAAACGAGGGAAGTGTTTACTAGCCTTTATTTTTAGGGATTGGTTTGGTGTCTTTCTCCTGATGAGTTGCTCTTCCTCACACTTCCTTGTACTCTTATTCAGTTGATTTATTTAAAGGTATGTCAGTGCTGGCTGAAATGAAGCACTGTGCCTCCTCTTCCTGCTTATTGCTGACCGCTCCAATAATTCATTTTTTAGCTCATTAACTAAGAGGGGATGTGAGCAGTGGTCCTCCAGGGAGCTGCAATGAGGTTAAGTGATCTACTGCTGACAACTCTGCTCTTGGACTGGCCTTCCTTGGGGGAAATGAAACCTCGACCAAGACAAGCTGTGGATCCCAGAAGTGAAATTGGGGCATCAGAGCAACAATTACAGTATTTATGTCTTGTTGTCAGGATTTGGGAGATGAATGCCAGCGGCAGAGCTGCAGCTGTCTCCCGGGAAAGTCCCCAGGACTTCCCATCCAAATTAAATGGTGTGTGCCAGAGATGGAGGGAGGATGTTTGTGGGCCTTGGCTTTCTAGATGCTCATTGGAAAACAGCCCCTCTGTGTTTTGGCTCTCCGTGAGGCCTGGGTGAGTGTGCTTCTCCTGCTACCTCTGATAAGGTTTAGTTTTCTACCCTAAAATCCAAATGCTGTGTCTTTCTTGTGCCCAGTTTGTGCTGTTGAATAAGATCTCACTCAGTAGCTGATGTCAGTGACGTGCTGCCCCAAATGCCTGAGGCTTTTGAATCACCTTTATTTTGATTTGTGGTGTTTGCTGTGTTCCCACCACAACCCTTGATGTGACTCCAAAGGTGGAATTGGGTCTTAACAAATGGAGCCTTTTGGTGCCCTGCGTGGTGAAGAAAAATCAGGCAGGTTTTCTGAAAAGGGAAACTGGAGTGAGGTGAAATAACCACGTGCAAAGGTTGGATTTTTAGGTGAATGTAGCCCCGTGTCACAGCCTGCTGCTGGTGGCAGGGCCCTGCGCTGGCCTCAGCATCTCCTGAGGGATTCCATGTCTCCTTGGCTGTTCCCAGGCTCTACACCACACTTCCTCTGGTTAAGGGATGCATCCTGACCAGAGCACACAGTTAATGCAGAGCAGTTATGGGTGACTTGATCATGCTGGGGAGTGCCTTAAGGAGGGACCACTTGCATCGTCTCCATCCCTAATGCTGGTGCCATTATTTTCCCCTTCCTGTTCCATTTATTTTTAAAGGGTTTTCTTCCCCCAGCCTTTTGAGACAGTAGGATAAACCTGAGCAGGGCTGGAGCATCTTCATCCCTCTTTCTTGGAACCTCCCAAGGGCATCAGGACTGCCCGTGCGACACACGACAAATGAGAAATTCGTGCCAGTGAATTTGTAAACCAGCAGCCCAAAGCTTGGAAAGCTTCTGCCTGAACTAAGCTTTTATTCTCTGTATTTTAGTGCATATCACAGCGTCACTGTTACACTTTGAGGTGAATTGTGATTGGAAGTGGGAGACTTGTGTCAAACAGCTTGTTTTCTAAACAAAAAAAGGGCTTTTCTTGGAGCCGTGGTGATCACAACAGCCAGTGCTCTGAAAGGAGTCAGAAACTTCCTATCACTGAAAAGATGGTCTGGGGGAAAAGGGGATTCATTTGCAGACTCTTGGCTAAAGAAAATTAACTGAATAGGTGTTTGAGGTATAGTTTGCCTTTAGGATGTATGGACATAGGAGAAATAAATGGCCAAAGCCCTGATGTGAGCTGCTGTGGGTGAACAGCACAGGTTGAATCACTTCACTTTCCAATGTGGCACGTTTTAAACAGGCAGTGGATGTATTGGTTATACTTTCCATACCTCTATGTATGTTAAAAATCACATGAGATGTAAACATCCCTGGAGATAATCTAGGTGGATACTGGAAGTAGACCTGCTGCAAGAATGCCCATTTTATTGTAGATAATTGCATGTTACTTTTTCCTTTTCATGGCACTAGTTCTGGTTTGTGTTTTTACCTTAAAAAAATACAAATAGAAAACCCATGAATTAAAGATTCTGATAACTCCTTTTCTTCCTCCTCTCCATCTGGAATACCTGCAATGATACTCTGGTTATCAGATCTTGCCATCAAAGGTTAATTTGCAACTCCCCAAACGGGTCGTTGTGGGGGGAGGTTGGTGTGTCTTTTAGCTTGCAGGAGTCATTCAGAGGTTTGATCTAAAAGAGCACTCTCTGTGTTAATTTTCTGTTTGCACTTTTGCTCTGAATAAAAGCCCCGGACCTGTTTTAGGATAAATTGTGGTCGGGGTAGGGAAGCACAAGCTTTGGGAAGCTGTGCCTGAAAGCATCCAGGCAGGTCAAAGCAAGGTCACTCCACATGTCCCAGGAAATGATGCAAAACTAATCCAGATTTGCTGGTGGAAGGAGCTGTTTACATAAGTATTTAAAAACAGATTAGGGCTAACCTGACACTAGATTACTGGGAGCAGTGTAAACACGGCTGAAAGGCGTAAACAGAGCTTGGCCTTTTGTACTCCAGGGGGGAGAATCTGTCACCAGGACCAGGGTCCTGGCTCAGGTGATGTGTATGGCTCTCACAGGCTGAACAGATTACCTGAGGTACCTCTAAATGGGACTTTGTCTGGGGCTGGATCTCTCACATCCTATAATTGTATGCTAATTTTTTTAATGGCAACTGGAGGGACTTGTTTGTAGCCCTTGTTCTCCTGTAACTTGAGAGCACCCAGAAAGCTTTTGATAGTTCTTTGATATATCAGGAGGCAAAGGCGCTTCAAAGGATTGGTTTGGTGGTTTGAATTTTGGAAAAACAAACAGAGGAACCATCCATATGCCTTTGGAAACGTTACTGAACTTGGAGAAGGACAAAGCACCCCTGTTTGTTTACTTCTGCTCTGAGATACAAAAATTGGATGTATTTTGTGCAATGTATTTTTCCAGCCCGACCGTAAGGTGGAACCAGGCTGTCTGTGTGTCTTTGGTCTTTGTGACAGTGAGGGCTCTTGCACTGACCTCTTGCCAGCCCAGGGTTTTTTAAGACCTCCCGGCTGTTGTGACCTTACAGCCCTGTGGGCACAGCATCCATCCAGGAGGATCTTGGGCACTGCAGTAGCACGACTCAGTAACAATAAGGCGGGCAACACAAGTACTGCTGCAAACACAAGGTTTGGGCGAGCTGTTTCTGTGAGGGCTTTCTTGCCAGAAATTCTCAGGGGGAAATAACCTCCTCGTTGGTTAAGCACCGTTTGCTGCGGCGCCAGGTGAGAGTGACCCGTCTCCTCTGGCTTCTCTAGGGAAGAAAAGGAGCTCTGGATACGTGCAAAGTACGAGCAGAAGCTCTTCCTTGCCCCGCTGCAGTGCCTGGAGCTTTCTCTGGGCCAGCACCTCCTGAGGGCCACAGCCGAGGAGGACCTGCGGACGGTGATCCTGCTCCTGGCCCACGGCACTCGGGAGGAGGTGAACGAGACCTGCGGAGACGGTGACGGGCGCACGGCCCTGCACCTGGCCTGTCGGAAAGGGAACGTGGTGTTGGTGCAGCTCCTCATCTGGGTAAGTGCCGGTGGGCAGGGTGGGCTTTGTCTGCGTCCCTCAGCAGGACACCCCTCACCTGCTCCTTGGGGCTTCACGAAGAGGTTGTGCTGACACAGGGCATTCCTCACTGCGCACTCTCAAAGGGCAGCACCAGGGTAATAAGGTATGTTTGTGCCTGTCTCCTCCTCGATGGAAAGGGAAGGAGAGCGTAGGAAACGAGGAAGGAGAGATTCCCTTAGCTCGGAATACCTCTGGGACGGATTTTGTTCCACATGTGAGACCCCCTTCCCATAACAACCTTTATGTGTCTGGCTCAGTGCTCTGTGCTCACGTTGTCGGGCTGGTATCCTGCCCGCTCCCTCTCCTCCCTGTCCCCATCCTCCTTGAAATCCAAATCTGTCCCTCCCAAACCCGCTCCTTCCTATTCTGCTGCTCCGTTGGCACCGCAGCCTCCCACAGCCCCCGTGTCCTTCCCGCAGTACGGCGTGGACGTGATGGCGCGCGACGCCCACGGGAACACGGCGCTGGCCTACGCCCGCCAGGCCTCCAGCCAGGAGTGCATCGACGTGCTCCTGCAGTACGGCTGCCCCGACGAGCGCTTCGTCCTCATGGCCACCCCCAACCTGTCCAGGAAGAACAACAACCGGAACAACAGCGGCGGCAGGATGCCCACCATCATCTGAGGAGCTCCCTCGTGCATTCGCTGAGTTACATCCGCAGCCTCACATCCCTCCATCCCCATCACAGCTCCGCTCTGTGAGTCTGGTAACTCTCCTTTTCCCTTTTCCCTTCGGTGCACCCCTGTCCCATCCGGAACGCGGAGAGCGCGAGGGGATGAGGAGGAGCCCGGGGGCTGCCGGGAAGGCCGTTGTTTCAGTGACAGCTCCGGAAGGACGGGGACGAGCGGGCGAGGGCGCGCGGGTTGAGCGGGACACGCCGCGCGTGGCACCGGGACCATGGGAGCGCGGCCGCCCCGGAGCAGGGACACGGAGCAGGGACACGGAGCAGGGACACGGAGCAGGGACACGCGGCCTCCCGGCCTGAGGGAAGGGCGGAGGGAGAGGCGAGCGAGAGGAGGAGGAAGGAGAGCCGGTGACTTCCCGTGACTGACAGTTAAGCACATCAGTACATTTCACCTCTGCCGAGCGCCGCGCCTGGATTCCATTCTCTTCTCTGAAGAGCTTGACGGCATAAATCAGAAGCAAGCACAGAGTTTGTCAGGTTTGAAGCTCCTATGATGGTATGTGTCAAATCAGTTGTAGCTAATCTGTCCGGGGAGAATACTGGCTTCATTACACTTGTATAGTTGAGTTCTTCCAGCATTACCGCTGTTTAATAGAACATGATTAGTCATCACGGAGAAAAAAGCATATTAGCTGAGGAGGTAGTTACATGGCACGCTTCGGTGATTGCTTGGATGTGATTGCAATATTCTTAGAAGCATCATATTATCTCAGACATGTTCTTTCAAGCCCTTGGAGCCCTCCTTTCTAAATTCACTGTCATAATTTAGTATCTGTTTAATTTTTCAGTCCAAAGAGAGGAAATGAGTTGCTGAGTGTTATTTGACTGCAGTCTCCTTGGTGTAAAAACAAAATGGAAAAAATAAATAAGAGTAACTCCGAAACACAAAAAGGAATAATGAATAGCGCTATGGAAAAAAACATTTCAAGTACATTTAGTGAAATTAATAAACGCATTAAAGGCTAATATTTTTTTTTTTCAGCCAGCAGAAATAGGTTCTGTCATTTTGCCAAGGTAAATTGTGTTGAGTTTTTGGTCACTCCTGTGATGCATAGCCTAACTTATACAGATTTTTGTATTGTGTCTCTAGATTCTATGTATGTAAAATCTATTTGAATTTAAAAAAAAAACATAAATATACATTGGATTTTTTTTTTGTACAGAAAATGACATCTCTGTTAATTTATAAACTGTAATGGATGTGAACTAAATAATGTGCAACTAGTTAGGATCTGTGGGCTACGGGTCATTGTACATCAATAATATTCCCAGCAGTGACTCTCGTTTCCAAAGCCTGTGAGGAACATATCAGGAGGAGATCAGGGCACACTTGGCATGGAAAAAAAAAAGTGTGTGAGACCTTTTAGAAAGGAAAAAGAGGCTGTTTCTTAGCGCTGTAAATCTATTTTAGCCCAGAAGTCAGGAAGCTTTCACAAGCCAAGACAAAAAGCCCTGTTGTGGCCGGGGGAAGATCAGGTTTGATTAAGCTCAGAATTGATAGCCTTCAGCGGGCAGGGCACGGCTGAGCTCCACTCCCAACCTGGCTGCTTCCGGCAAGAAAAATGGCTTGTGAAAGTAGCCTGGACAGTTCATTTGAATCCCAGGTTTTAATACTTGATTGGATTATTTTGGTCTTACCAGGCAGATCCCGGCTTCTGCTGTTTTCCCAGTAGTGGGATTCTGGCGCAGGGAAGCAGCTTGCAGGGGTTTTGGCAGGCAGGAAAGTGATTTTTTTTTTTTGAAGTGGCATACAGCAGTGTGAAGATGGGGGAAGGGCATATCACGGAGAGAGTTGAAAACTCAACTGAATTCTGTGGCAAAGGAGCAATTATGTGAAGGCAGTGAGGTGCACACAGCATGGTAATTTGCAAATCTACCTGCTCGGATGTCTTTCCCAAGCCTTCGGTGGTGCTCTTCCTTGGGGCTCTGGATTTCACTCAGCACACAGTGGCAGGAGCGTGGCAATTGCCAAGTAAACTCCATGTGGACAAAATGCAAAGGGAAAAAACGTGATCTGGTTGTCTTAAGGGAAAAAAAAAAAAAAAAACCAGCAAATTATGGATTTGATGTAAATTATTAAATTGCGGTAGAAAAACAAGCCTCAAGGTGGAAGTACAGGAGTATTGACCAGCTTTTCCTCTTTGGAGGTGTCCTCCTTTTGTACTTGGTTACTATATAGACCTTTGATGCTTTCTGGGGAGGGAATCTTCCTTTGCCTGGCCTAGGCTGGCTGAGGCAGAGCAAGGACACAGCTGAGTCCCTTCAGACTGGGATAATTTTAAATATTCTTTTTTTTTTTTTTTAATTAAGGAAAGGTGTCTGTTGTAATTGCTATTTCTCCATCATTCCTGTGCAGCTCCCTGATCTTTGGTACTCACGGGTGGTCCTTCGGCGACGGGACCACCCACCCAACGTGCAGCTGACGGGGGTGCTGTGAAGCCACTGCGTCTTGGTGCTCATGAGCTTTATATCCCTGCAGGGAAACCCAGCAGGGATTCGGGAATGGCAATCCCAGAGGTGCTAGAGCTGCCTGCTGTTCCCCTGGGAGCATCAAGGGCATTTATTTGTATCCGAAAACCAAGTCCAGCGTTTCAAACCCACGGAAGGCAGATCTGCCGCCGTTGAGTTCTCAGTGCATGTTCCATTTCAGAGCTGGTTTTTTCCAAACTAAAGTTATTTTCTGTACATAATTTAATGCTCTCTTTGGGCCACCTTCCTCTTACAAAGCTGAGAGTGATGTTTGGGAAACAAGGGCAACCAGGCTGTCACGCAGATTTCGGGTATATCAGTTATAAGCTCCTTTCATAAAAATTTTCTGAGGGCGACCCTTGAAAAAACACAGAATGTTTTTAAGAAAGGAAATTCCAGTGTATTCCAGGAAAAATTAGATATCCAGGCTAACCAACTAATATTTTAATTGAGCGGTAACACAGTTGTTTTTAACCTAAACGTATTTTTCCCTTGGAGGTGTAAAAGTGTAACTATGTTGGAGCAGTGTAGGAATATGTGATGGCTTCCCCAGGCACATCGGGGTCTGCGGGGAGGATTCCTGGTGGTGGATGCGGTGGCAGCAGGAAATCATAGAATATCCTGAGTTGGAAGGGACCCTCTGGGTGAGATCACCCAGCGCTGTCTCTCCGGGTCAGGAGACACCTTTCCTGCCACGACAGCTGCTGACGCTCCACCACGGGAGGACGGACGAGGGTCTGTGCCTTGTGTTGGCACAGCATCCCCCGGACAGATAGGTTTGGTTGGAAGGCTGGCAGGAGTGTTGTGGCACCTCCTGAGCTAGTGGGACACTTGGCAAGGAAGTCGGGCCAGCGTAGACTCCATCCCCTTCTTGCACAAGGGGGGAGAGGAGGGGAAAGCCCTTCCCACCAGAGCTGAGAACAAGGATGGAGGAAGCTCTCCTTGGCTGGATCCCACTGGGGCTTGGCTTTGGGAGCTCCACGTGCTGTACAGGGAGTGTGTTTGCACTTTGCAGAGGATGTTCTCAGAGCTATCCAGGTGCAGAATCAGGCAGTATGTGCAGCACTTGGGGTCCTGCAGGGATTGCCATTCCTCCTGCTTTCGCCCTGTTAACCCAGCCCTTTTCTGCTCGTACTCTCGCCTTTAGCCCCTCATTGCTTTCCTGGAACCCACTTGCCAGGCTGTTCACACCCTTTGAGCGTGTTATGGACAAATGACACCCAAATTGCCACCCAGTCCATAAGAAACCCCAGCAGAAACCTGTCAGCTGAAGCTGTTTTCTCGGCAGTGTGGTGTTCATTGCATCCCCCATTTAACCCTTCCCAGCATCCCAGATACCTTTAAATCCCCCTTCCTCTGCACTTTATCCACAACAGCTAAAACACTAGAAGCGAGTCAGCTGTTCCTGTCACCATCAGCACCTTCCTTCTATTTTTAGCTAATTGCTGTCGAACGGTGGGGATGAGTCGGATGTGTCATATCTGGCATCTGAACCTGGATATTGCTGAGGAGGGTTCACTTCTCCTCGCTCTTTGTGAAGAAATAAGATCCAACCAGGGTCCTGCAGAGATTTGGCCAAGGGCTCCCCTTACCAGATTTCTAATTTTATTGATAAAAGGGGGCATTAAAAAAAAAAATATTTTGGAGAACTTGGTTATGAACTAGGTGTGCTGCTTGGAAAGCCAGGCGAGCTCCTGGAAGGTGAGAGGGGATTTTCAAGCGTTTGGGCATAGTGTATAATAACCGTGTAAACATTAACATTGTTTAATTTGCCATCTTGTCCCCGTTTCCCTAAATTATGTGTGTTAGTGCAAAAAGAAAAAAGCTTTAGCGGCACTTGGAGATTTCCCTTGGCCAGAGGAAGCTGAGTCACGTAGGGAGAGGAGTAGAGGTGGGAATGCAGATACGGGCTTAGAAATGATCTCCAGCACTGTAATGTAGTATAATTAGATTATATGGGGTTGGAATAGCTTCATCTTTTATATTTGTATGGAGATCGGGAAAAATGAAGTAATTTGTAGTTTCTAGTATAAAGTAGTAATAGTGGAGACAAGCACAGATTTCACAAGGGGGTCCCGAAGGGGCCCTTTCCAAACGTCTCGGGGAGCCGCCTTTGCACCTTAACAGGGATGGTTGTTGGGTTTTGTTAGTTGGTCAGTGATGAAATGGTCCTTGTCGGTGGTGGGACTCAAGGGAAAGGAGGGGAGCATTGGGGACCAAACCTGGGGCAGCTTGGCTGGGCAGGGGACAACTTGTCCATCCTCATCTCACAGTCAGGCATCTTCCTCCCCCCTCCAGAGGCAGCTGCAGCGATTCCTGAGTGGGATCTCCAGCTGCTGGTCTTGGATCCTCAGTTACACATCTTCCGTTCTTGGTGATTTGTGGGTAAAATTTGTTGCGTAGAAAACCCGTTTTTGGATGTTCTTGTGTTTGCGGCACAGTAGGAGAAAATAAAAACACTCCAGATTAAAGTTCCTTCTGAGGTAGAAAAACACTAAACCACCCTAAATTAAGAGGTTCTGCAGAGAGTTTTGAGTTCTGAAATTCTAAACTACCGAAAAGCAGGTTGGTTTGAATGGTTTTATTAGAAAAGAATCTCCTGTTTGAAAAAATAATAGGGGTCATAGAGCAAAACTTTTGAAGTTGTAGGTGGGTGTATTTGTTGATTTAGGATGCTCTAGGTTTTGCTTTGTTGTTTGGCATGGGCCAGTTTTTGGAGTAAGTATCGGGTGGTCTCATCTCAGGACAGTTTACCTTGAGTTGACTGAATCTGTCTCACACTTTAAAGGGAGGTTCAGAGGGTTTCAGCCAGGATTTTTGGGAGCTGGGAATAGTTCATGTTTTGAGAGGGGAATTGCATGATCTTTGAAAATAAAAGGTTGTTTTGGAGGTTCTTTTAGAGCCATCTTCAGCCCCAAATCACCAAGCATGTTTTTGGTCATCTTGGCCCCATGTTTCATTTCAGGGTGACAGCAGTATGTGGGTGAATTAGCTCCCATCATTTACCGCTGTTCCTGGAATGCTTGGGGGGTTGGGGGGGGGAGTTCTGCTTGTGGATGGATAAAATAAAAACGTTTCAGTGCATTTCAGCAGTTTTAACCTCTTCATCTCTGTATGTGTGCCCATCTCCCAGATCCCTGGGGCACATTCCAGCGGTAGCAGTTGGTTCTGTTGGCAGGCAGAGCTTCAGCTTTCCCTTGGCCATGAACTCCTGGATGTGTGTTTAGCTTCCAGTAGTAAGGACTGACTGTTCTGCAGTGCTTCAGAGCTAGTGATTTTTACCTGTGTGTTCTGTACAAAATGTGAAGGGAGGGTGGGTGGGGGATGCTTTGGGGGGTCTCACGGCATGCGTTGCTCGCTGGCACTGAATGCACCATCAGCTCTTTTGTGTACGCCCCGTTTCCCAGAACCCATCGCTGTGGGTTTGTTGCTGCTTCTGAGAACTGAGGAAGCTGAAAACACTTCCCTGGTCCTCGTGAATTACAAGGTACAGGGTGTAAAACCCCTCAAACAAACCAGGTCGCGTCTGGTCTGCGCTGAAGGAAAACCTCAAGCTCATGCAGGACCCAGGAGAGGGTTTGGTGCTGAACGGGCGTCGTTATTTGGCAACTAGATCCCAAATGCAGGGATTGAGTTGAGTGGGTAAAGTGCAGTCAAGGTGTTCTGAGCCCTAAGGTGAAGGTGGTCTGTCACTAACCACACTTGGTGTGTATGTGTGTGCCTGGATGTGCTCTCCACACTGCTGGTGGTTACTGTGGGAAGGTGGTGCACACATCAGCCACAATCCATGGCTGGAGCCGCCTTTTCAGTCGGATGTTTCCGAACAGGCAGATTTCCCAGTTTGAGTCAGACCAGCCATTCCCAAGAGCACGGAGGGCAGGATGGGGGGCACCAACTGGAGAGATGCAGGAATGGGAGGTACAGGCTTAGTGCATCTCAGGACTCACACAGAGACCTGCCTCAGAGGTTTTCCAAAAATCCAGCTCCTTCAGACAGCAACACTGAACTTGAACTTGGTCACTAGGACTGGAGCAGGCCCCCTTGGCTGAGAGGAGAAATCCCAGCTTACCAGCCCTGGGGGTGAGAAACACCAGGGAAGGAGATTCTGAAGTTGAAAAGGACAGTGTTGCAGCTCAGAGGCCCTTTTTTTATATAAATTTGCTTGAAACTCAGCCTTCTGGGTGACTTTGAGCATGGGACCTGCTGCCCTCCTGTGGGTGAGCCAGCGATGCTTTGGGTCCTGCTGCTTTCTGGGGCCGTTGGGGATGGCAGTGGGGAGATGTTTCTGATGGGCTGTCTCCGGCCCCAAGGGCAGCTGCTCCCTCCACGTGCTCTTGGCCGTGACTCTCTGGCCTCCAAACTTTGCCATGTGGGAGCCACAAACCACAGCTGAAGCTCACTGAGGCTTTTGCCTGTGCTGAGTAGTCCAGGAACAGTAGTCCTGTCAGGGAGAATCCATGGGGAGAGAGAGGGCAGGTCTGGCAGGACAGGAAGGGGCTGTGGTAGGGACATGGCTGAGTGTGTGGAAATGATGGGAGGGTCATTCATTTTCCCTTCCTTCTGTTACTTTGAAATGCTGTTGAAGTCCCCTCCAAGCATTTTTTCTGAGTATCCAGAAACTCACCTGGATTCTCCATTGAATCTACTGAGCTCCTTTTACTAATCCATGGGGGAAATTGGACATCCCCATCCTCTGAAAGCACACGGCCCTTTGCTCTGTGGAAGTACCAAGTTTCCAGGGCTCCAGATGCATTCGGCCCAGCTCTCTTTTACCGTGTCAATGTCAAGAGCACCTTTCACTTGTAGACACGTAGGTGGTGCACAAACTGAAGGGTTATTTGGGTTAGGAGTGTCTTCTCAAACACCAGGGACTTGTTTTGTGTAAGTATTGCCTTTGGACTTGGATTGGAATTGCCAGGAGCTTGACGGTGCAGCTCCTGCTGCCTTAAACCTCTCGGCTTCAGTGGGGTTTGAGCGTGTCCCAAATGCCTTGCCCTTGTCTGAGGCAGAACAGCTCTGAGCTGGCAGAGTTAGGCTGTGTCCTGACCTCTCTGGAGGCAGAGTTTGGCCCCTGGTCCCAGCCAGGTCCTGGTTTGAGGTTCAATCTAACGGGCACCTTTATTTCGGGAAGCGGACGCATAAACTGTTCTCTTTTCCTTTATTCCTTAATAACCTGTGACCGCCTGCAAAGGCTGGATTTTGCATTCAGCCCCCAAGTCTTTCAGGTTTTTCTGCTTTGTGATGTTTGTCTTTCCGGTCAGGATGGGGACAAGGGAGCCCAGGTGAGCAGGGACACACGAGAACTCTGCTTGGGGTAGGGGCAGGAGGTCCCTAGCACGTGGCAGGCTTTAGAGCAAGTTTGGGGTTGTTGTTTTATTTTTGTTTTCTGTTTCTGTAAATAATAATGTATAAATGATGACAAGACAGTGTGGAAATTCTAAAAAAAAAAAAAAAAAAAAAAAGTCTTTTGTTGTTGTTTTTATATTACCTCATTCAGCAAGTTTGTTTTACAATGACTCAATGATGCTTTATTTATATTGTTTGTACTGTAATTAAACCGATTGACAAACATTTCACTTTGCTTGTTGTTTCCTATGATTTGGGTTTGATTAAGTATGCCAGTTTGTATTATGTTCCCCTTTCCTCTCTCTCTCTCTCTCTCCAACACATTGAGATTTTTTGTGTCAGCTGTACAGTATTCTGAATAATTAAAAAAAATAAAAAAATAACAGAAAAAAAAACAACAAAGAACAAAAAGTTGTAAAGTACTGCAGAGAGAGGCTGCTATATTATATAGGTCTCTTTCTAATAAAGACAAGAAAACTTGTTGGTCGCAGCTTGTTCTTTGCTTGAGTCTTCCTCGTGTTATTGAGCTACACCTGCCCTGGCCCTGCTTCCTCCCCCTGTTAATGATGAGATCCTGTCACTCCTGCCAGTAATAAAGATGAAGGATTATCCCAGACCTGGGATGTCAGAAGAGCCAGTAATGGTGCAAATTGATAAATTAAAAAGCAATAAGTCAACCCCACCGTAATGGTGTATATGTAAGAGTTCTGAAAGTGCTTGTGAAGTGAATGACGGATCTCCCAGCCAAAAATATGTGAGCTTTCATTAAAAACAGTTATTCTCCCCGAGGAAGAGAGAGTAGTAAATGTTGCACCTTGGCTTTAAGAGTCTCTGGAGGTGATCCAAGGAATTAGGCCAGTAACGGTTACATCTGTATCTGCTAAATTGGTTGAAATGATCATTTAAAGTAAGAATAATAAAACATCTTTAAGGTCATGATATGGTATGGTCTAATCACTTCTTGGAAGGGAAATCATGGCTCTCCATTAGGCTCCTCGGAGCAAGTCCTTTAAAGCCCTGAACAATGGGCAAGTGATGGACATTTATTTACAGCTTCAGAGGTCTTGTCCCAAGTACATCCCGAGAGGGAATTGAGAATCTCAGCAGGCTCAAGGAGAAGACAAACTGTTGTCCTGATGCAGAAGGTTGAAGGTGGGATGGGGAGGGAAGCAAGAGGTGATGGGGTTTTCACTGGAGCACACTGGGAACTCTCCAGAGGGGTCCCTGCCTGGGCCATCGCGCCCCAGGGGGTTGGCAGTAGGATTTGTGATCCCAGTGGCTGCAGAAATTACATGAGGGTGAGGGAGCTGTGTGGGACCAAGGTGGGTGCATGGAGAATAGCAGGAAAAATTCAGTAAATCTGCATTAATTGGGCGTTAAATAATGTGCCCTGGCATGGAGAAAGAAATGTAAGATTTAAAGACCTGTAAGGACACCATGGAGTGAGACAACCAATGCTGTGGTTTGGCTCCCTGTACTTGTCTCACCTCACACAAAACAGAGAAATTAGGAATGTTCAGGGATGAGTAGAGGTGGGAAAAGTGTGGAATTTCCCTCAGAAAGAGACCCCAAGTGGGGGAATATGATAAAAGCAGACAAGAAGTGGGGAAGCAGCAGACTGGGGACGTCTCTTTTCCTGGCCTTGTACCCAACACTGTGCACAGGCTGATGGCACCAAAGGGCAGCACGGTCCAAACCAACTGAGATGGACAAGATGTGCCACAGGACCTCAGTGCAGTGGGATCTTGCACAAGAGAAGACCTGGCCAAGGCTGGAAAGGTGAGTTTGCACCTCCATGCTCTGAGCGGGACTGCCACAGTGTGGGATCTGGGGTTGGGGGGTTTATCTTTTACTCCTGCTTGTGCCTCGGCCCAAATGTGTTCATTCCTCAGGTTATTGCCCATCCCACCCAGTCTCCCACCTGCTGTCAGTTCTGTCCTGTCACATGGGCACTTGGTTGGGGTTTGGAGGAACTTCCCTGTTTCTTTTTCTGCTTCTCAGTTCTCCCAAGTGCTACGGAGAGGCCGTAGCAGCACTGTGAGGGATGAAAAACAACAGGACTGCTTGGGGATGTTGGGTTTTTACTTTTTCTTCTTTTTTTTTGGGGGGGGGGGATGTCACATGGCTGTTTTGTCAAGCAGCAGCCACATTCCTTTGTTCCTGAAAGGTTTTCCCACCCGTTCCAGCCCGTCCAACGCAGGAGGTGGGTGCTTTGTGCTCTCCCCTCTGGGTTTGAAATGTGAACTTCGAACGTGGGAGAACTTGTTTTGGATTCCCCCTGGGTGTAAAGCTGTAGTAGAGCTCTTTTTTTAGGCATCATCTGTCCCTCCCCTCCTTTGCTCTCCCAAAGGGGTATGGGTTTTGATTTTGTGATGGGCATGGCTGGCTGCTCTCTCTCTGTAACAACCCTCCTAAGATCTGGCTTCTCCTGGAAGATCCTGGTGCCGAGGGATGGTGGAGCAGATTTAAGGATGTCTTTCATGCCCACATTTCTCCCCTTACCCTAAGCCCACCCCCATGTACCCCTGAGACACTCTCAGCTGGTGGCATTCACTGATACCTTGGAAGAAAAGAAAATATCCTACGGCAAAGCAACAGGGGTCAGAAAGAGGTTTTGAAGGAAAACTATTGATTCCCATAATGGGAGTAGGGGGAACATCCAACATCCACTTTTTTTTTTGTTGTTTAAATGAGAAAAAGCAGTTTCTAAAACGACCAGACTGTTGGTCTGCCACAAGGCCTCGCTGTTAACTCTGATGGGTGCTAGGAGCACCAGCTCAAGAAACCTTCTCCAGAGCCCAGAAGCACATCACTCATGCCCATAGTCACTCCAGGACTCGGTGGCAGGAGCTGGAAGTGGTGTCCAGAGATGCTGCTCAGACACTTGGTGCTACCCTGATGGGGAAAAACCCAGCAGAACGTTGGGCTGGGGAGCAGGATGTCCCCACAAAGCTTCTCTAAG